CGCGGCAAGAACGCAGCTGCGCATGCCCTCTCCCCCCCAGTGGTGGATGCCTGCGGAATTACAGCTCTAGAGGAAGGGCTCAGAGAACGGGGGCCTGAGGGATGCATAGGAGTTGGTTAAGCAGAGGGACAAGGCAGGCACAAACCTTGAACCATAAACGGCTACTGACTTCCACGGTTGGTAGCAGAGACATTCATTTCTTCACCATCAAGGGCCATGCACCCTGGGTTACAGAGGCTGGCTAGGAGGACCAAAGCGAGCCGAAAGAGAGAAAGAACCATGGCTGACTATGGAATGCATGGGGGGAGGGGGGTCTGAGGCAGGGGGAGGACAAGCTGGGACGCTTGACCCCAGCACGGGGGGAGGTGTGACTGTAGACGTAAGCAGGTAGGTTAGACAGGACCACCGCATGCTGGACTGAGCAGGGTGCGGCTGCGTGAGTTTGAGGGCCTCTCCCTTTCATTATCTGTAAAATGGGGTGATGGAATTACAAGGGTGCTCCAAGGAGGTCTGTGCAAATGGCTCAAGAGAATCCCAGCACTGGGATCCTTCGATTCGAGACCAGGGCACCCTGAAGACACGCACTAGTACCCACTGTCTTCCATGAACACTACAGATGTCCTGAAGTCTCCCCTGATCATCTTCGTGGTGGGCGGCCCTGGCTGCGGGAAAGGGACACAGTGCAGAAACATGGCCACCAAGTACGGTTTCTGCCACGTGGGGCTGGGCCAGCTGCTGCGGGAGGAGGCTCAGAGGTGCACCCGGCGGGGTCAGCAGATCCGGGACATCATGCAGCAGGGACTCCTGGTGCCCACGGTGAGAGTTAAAGGGAGAGGGGGGCAAGACAACACAGAGTCAGTCCCCAGGAAGCCAGGGTGTCCTGGCCCAGGCACTGCCTTGTCATACCGACACTGTCATGAGAAGACTGTGATGTGGGAGCAGTTAAAGGCACCTGCTACTTTGGCCCAGGACCTGGGTTTGGTTCCCAGTACCCACATGCTGGCTCACAACTGTCGGTAACTCTGGTTCCAGGGGACCTGATGCCCTCTTCTATGCTCTGAGGGCTCTGCACACATGCACAGACATCCATGTAGGCAAACATTCATACAAATAAAACTCTTATAAAAAAAAAAGCCATTATGAGGGCTGTTGGGAAGATCTGTTGGTAGAGCATGCACAAAGTCCTGGGTCCCATCCCAGCACCTCAGAAATTGGGTAGACACTGGACAACCCAGTACTCAGGAGGTGGAGTCAGGAGGATGAGTTTGATGGTATTGACTACGTTAGAGAGTCCATGCCAGGGGTCAGAGAGATGGCACCGTGGGTGAAGGCCCTTGAGCCAAGCCTGACAACCTAGTTGAATGCACAGGAAGGAGGAACCAATATAGCTTGTCTTCTGCCCCCACAGGTGCTGTGGCACATACAACATCCCCTGCAACTAGATCCATAATAAAGAGCTCTAATAAACTTTTGTTTTATTTGTTTTTTATTTGTTTGTTTCCACCAGACAGGGTTTCTCTGTGTAGCCCTGGCTGTCCTGGAACTCAGTCTGTAGACCAGGCTGACTTTGAACTCACAGAGATACACCTCCCTCCAGAATGCTGGGATTAAAAACATGTGCCACCACTGCCCCAAAAAATCTTAACTTTTTAAAAAAACTTATTTTTGCTGGGCGTTGGTGGCGCATGCCTTTAATCCCAGCACTCGGGAGGCAGAGGCAGGCGGATCTCTGTGAGTTTGAGGCCAGCCTGGTCTCCAGAGCGAGTGCCAGGATAGGCTCCAAAATAAAAATTTATTTTTTGGTTTTTTGAGACAGGGTTTCTCTGTGTAGCTTTGGAGCCTGTCCTGGCACTCGCTCTGGAGACCAGGCTGGCCTTGAACTCACTTAGATTCTTCTACTCTGCCTCCCGAGTGTTGGGATTAAAGGTGTGTGCCACCACCACCATCCATCCAAAATCTAATAAACTGTTTTTTTTGTTTTTCGAGACAGGGTTTCTCTGTGGCTTTGGAGGCTGTTCTGGAACTCACTCAATAGACTAGGCTACCTCTGCCTCCGAGTGCTGGGATCAAAGGCAGGCACCACCAACACCCGGATCTAACAAACCTCTAAGTGGCAGTGGTGCACTCCTTTAATCTCAGTATTTGGAAGGCAGAGGCGGTCGTGTTTCTATGAGTTTGGGGCCAACCTGGTTTATGAGTTCTACTACAGCCAGGGCTGCACAGAGAGACCCTGTCTCCTAAAAACAAAAATGAAAAGCCTGCAAGCAGAAAGGAAGCCAGTGATTGAGGTGCTGGGTTTTTCCTCTGTCTCACATGAGTTCCAAACTGAATGACCTTTGTAGCACCTGGCCTCTCTGGGGTGGCAGGTCCTGGGCACTGAGTCTTGAGTCCGTGCCCTTTTGTTCTCAGGGTCTCATCCTGGACATGGTCAGTGACAACATGTTGGCTCATCCAGAGAGCCGAGGCTTCCTCATCGATGGCTTCCCCAGAGAGCTGGAACAGGCCAAAGAGTTTGAGCGGATTGTGAGTGCCCCGACCCCAAAGTGTCCTTGAGTGTGTGTGCCTTGGGTATGGGGCCTGAGGCTGGGAGGCCTTCCTTCCTTCAGCTCTCATAGTCTAGGCAGGTCTCAAACTCTTAACTAGGATAGACTGACCTTGAAGTCCTAACCTTCCAGCCTCTGCCTTTGGGGTGTTGGGATGGCAAGCTTGTGCTACCAGTCCTGGTTTATATGCCTAGGGTGGAACCCAGGGCTGTGACCAGGGCGTGTCCTCTGCCCCATCCACCACCACCCCCAGCCCACACATGTGCAGTAAGAGTTAGAAGGCCACATAGAGAGGCAGGCCTGTGACCTTCCTGTAAGGCAGGAAGATTATGATTTCCAGGCCAGCCCAAGCTACATGGAGAGTTCAGCTGTCTCAAACAACAACAACAACAACAACAAAACAAAACAAAAAAAAAAAAAAAACAGGACTGGAGAGATGGCTCAATGGTTAAGAGCACCAATTGCTCTTCCAGAGGTCCTGAGTTCAATTCCCAGCAAACACATGGTAGCTCAAACCATCTATAATAGGATCTGAAGCCCTTTTCTGGCATGCAGGTATACTTGGACTCATACATGAGATATAAATAAAAATAGCAAAAAAGCAAACAATAAATTGAACAAAACAGGCCTGCAGAGGGCTCAGCAGTTAAGAGAACTGACTGCTCTTTAGTGGCTCACAACCATCTGTAACTCCAGTTTTAGGAGATCTGATGTCCTCTTCTGGCCCCTACAGACTTGTGTGTGTATATGGTGCACATAAACTCACCCAGGCAAATGCTTACACGCATAAATTCGTTTGTTTTGTTTTTCAAGACAGGATTTCTCTGTGTAGCCCTGGCTGCCCTGGAACTTGCTTTGTAGACCAGGCTGGACTCGAACTTAGAGATCCACCACCTTTGCCTCCCGAGTTCTGGGATTAAAGGTATGTCCCAACGCCACCTGGCTCATACACTTAAAAAAATTTTTTTAACCAAAAAAAAAAAAAAAAAAAAAAACCCAAAGGGGGGGAAAACCCCTAAGGTGGCAAACAACAGTGGAAAGTACTGTTGGCCTTCATATTCAAAAGCACACATAGATGCTGATGGTGTGAGCCATGGAAGATTCCAGAGGGCGAATTTATTCATGCATTGTGTTGCCAATGGGCTCAGGAAGCATTCCCACTGCTGTTGCCATGGGGACCTGCAGGCCCCACATTACCAAGCCAGTGGTTTTAAGAGAAGCTGGGAGCTGGGATGCAGAATTAGCACCCCCCACACTTTGTTTAAATATCAGTCACAAATTTTTAAAATGTGAAACTAACTGTGTAACCCAAGGGAACTGTGGGCTGGGAGTCAGGGTGGAGCAGCTTCAGTCCTCAGTGTCTCATGTAGCCCAGGCTGGCCCCCAACTCTTCAAGCACCCAAAGATGACCTTGATGTTGATCTATCTCCCTAGCGCTAGGATGACAGTGAGGCAGCATTGTCTGGCTGGCTTGTGTTTGTCTTCTGACTGTTTCTAGAGACAGTGTCTCTCTATAGCCAGGAAGCCCCTGAAATCCTGCCTATGCCCACTGAACTCTAGGACTCAGGCTTGCATCATCACAGCAAGCTGTTGGCTGGACAGGTAATAGTTAATTCCTTTTAAAGAGAGATTTAAATTTATGCATATGCGTTTTGCATGCATGTATGTATGTCCACCACAGATAAGCCTGGCTGGCCTGCTTTTGAGGTCTAGGTATGAAGATGGTGTTGGATCCCCTGGAACTGGACTTAGAATGGTTGTGAGCCATCATGTGGAAGCTGGGTCCTCTCCAAGAACGAGTACTCTTCCACTGAGCCCTCACTATGGGTGTACTCTAGGATATGCACACAGAATAAATCTTTGTCTTGAAGACTTAAAGAATGGCCGGGCATTAGTGCCACACGCCTTTAATCTCAACACTCGGGGAGGCAGAGGTAGGTGGACCTCTGAGTTTGGTCTACAGCTCAAGTTCCAGGACAACCTCCAAAGCAATACAGAGAAACCCTGTCTCGAAAAACAAAAAACAGGGCTGGAGAGATAGATCAGAAGTTAAGAGCACTGACTGCTCTTCCAGAGGTCCTGAGTTCAATTCCCAGCCCCCACATGGTGGCTCACACCCATCCGTTATGATATCTGGTGCCCTCTTCTGGTGTGCAGATATACATGGAAGCAGAATGTTGAATACATAATAAATAAAATCTTAATATTAAAAAAACAAAAACAAAAAACAGCCGGGCATTGGTGGGTGGCGCACGCCTTTAATCCCAGCACTCGGGAGGCAGAGGCAGGCGGATCTCTGTGAGTTCGAGGGCTACATGAGAGAGTTTCAGGACAGGCTCCCCAAGCCAACAGAAAACCCCTCTCCAAAAAACAAAAAAAAGACAAAAAAAAAACAAAAACCCAAACTTGATGAGGCCTGGTGGTGCTCTAACACCCATAAAATCCCCATGTGAGGGGCTGAGATATGGCTCAGGGATGGAGGCCCTGCCTAGAATTCCCCAGTGAGGGGCTGGGGGCGTGGTCTGGGCAGCAGGTGTCCTCATTGCCTAGAGTGAGGATTGGGCACAGAGAACCTTCATCCTTTTACATGTTTGTCTTATACACTCTGCACATGCAATGCCCACTACAAATGTAGTGCAATACACACTACAAATCAAGCCTTGGGTTGGGTGGGGCTGGGCTTAGAGGGCAGAGCACTGGCTTCTCATATTCCAAGTCCTGGGCTCCATCCCTAAGCCCTGTGTAGATGTGAAACTCCATTAGTGTCAGCTAAAGATGTGTGGAAGATAAGGGACTTTGGTGTTGTCCCTGTCCCCACAGAAAGCAAGAAACCAGGCATGGTGGTGCACACCTGTCATCCCAGCACTGGACTGGGGAGGTGGAAGCAGGACAATTGGGGTTCAGGGTCATCCTGGGCTACATGGGTAGTTCAAGGGCAGCCTGCTTCATGAGACCCTGTCCAAAAGAAAAAGGAAAACAAACAAACAAACAAAAAATCAGGGCCAGGTGAGGTAGCACACAAACTTAACCCTAGCACCTGGGAAACAGGCAGGTGGATCAGAAAGCCTGCTGCTCTACAATGTTAGTTCCAGGACTATATAGTGAGACCCTATCTAAAAATAAAAAAAAAAAAAGGAAGGAAAGAAAAGCAAAATAGAATAATAAAATAACCGGCTTTATGGTATCAGCACTCAGGAGGTAGAGCAGGAGGAAAATAAATTCAAGGCCAGCTTTGGATATACACATGACCTACTCGACCTTGGGTATATACATGATCCTGATTCAAAATAAATAATGAAAAAGAACACACCCAGTGTGGCTGTGTGTGCCGGTGATTTCATCACCCTGTCTCCAAAAGCAAACCAAAGGGTACAAGATATGGCTCAGTCCACAAAGCGCTAGCCTTGCAAGTGTGCGGCCCTGAATTCCATGCCCAGAGCCCACATAAAAACTTGGGTGTGGTGTATATACTTGATCTCAGCTCTTGAATAGGGGAGACAGGAGCATCCCTGGGACTCATTGGCCGGCCAGCCTAACCTATTTGTAAAGTTTTAGGCCAGTGAGAGACCTTCAAAAAAGCAAGGTTGTAGGCTGCAGAAATGGCTCAGCAGTCAAGAGTGTGTATTGAACCAGGCATGGTGGCATTTACCTTCATCCCAGCCCTGGGGAGGCAGAAGCAGGTAGGATTCCTTGTGTAGCTCTGGCTGTCCTAGAACTTGCTCTGTAGATCAGAGATCCACCTGCCTCTGCCTTCTGAGTGCTGGGATTAAAAGCATGTGCCACCATGCTAGGCTCCAAAATGTTTTTTTGTTGTTTTGAGACAGGGTTTCTCTGTGGCTTTGGAGTCTGTCCTAGAGCTAGTTCTTGTAGACCAGGCTGGTCTCAAACTCGGTCTGCCTCCTGAATTCTGGGATTAAAGGAGTGCGCCACCACTGCCTGGCTTTTTTTGTTGTTGTTTTTCGAGACAGGGTTTCTCTGTGTAGCTTTAGAGCCTATACTGGCACTCGCTCTGGAGACCTGGACTCACACTCACAGAGATCCGCCTGCCTCTGCCTCCCGAGTGCTGGGATTAAAGGTGTGCTCCACCAAAGGCTCATGGTCTCTTGGGAATCTGTGCAAGACCCTCTCCTCACCCTGTCCTATTGGGTTACTTACTGCCTAGGTGGGCAGGGCCCCCAACATAGTCATGGTGTTTGACTGCTCCATGGAGACCATGGTGAGAAGAGTGTTGCAACGAGGGCAGGTAGAGCACCGAGCAGATGATTCAGAGCCGGCCATCCGCAAGCGCCTGGAGACACACTACACCCTGTGTGAACCTGTCCTGACCTTCTACCAGCAAAAGAACGTTCTGCGAAATGTGGGTACCCGGAAGGGAACCCTGCTTAGTCTGGATCTGCCATTTTCCCCACTTTGTAATGAGGGGATCCTATTTCGGTAGGGCAGCACAGGCTGGCCTAGAACTCATATAATCCTTCCATCAGTCTCCTGAGCACTGATAGGTGTGAGCAACTGGATGTGCTTGCAGTTCCTGAAAGCTAGAGTGGGCCCCCCGCCCCCCAATGCTGCCACCTGTGTAGCCTTGAGGCCCTGGTGGTGCCCAGATGTCTGGCTCAGTACATGCTGAGATGGAGTTAGTGTCAGCACAAGGGTCTGTTAGATAAGGGATGCTGGTGGTATCCTCATCCCTGGGAGAAACAAGCATGGGAAATTGCTGTCTCCTGCTCATGCCTGGATCCATGGGGTCTCTACTTGCCCCCACACCCATTGCTGCCACCCAGGCTGCAAACCTGCTCACATCAGGGCTTGCCTCAAAGGGGTTATGGGAGCATAGCTCTTGCCATGGGCTGCACCCTTGACCCCATGGCTTCCTCTCCCCTAGATCTTGGCTGAAGAAGCCCCTGAGAATGTTTTTGCCAAGTGCTGCTTGGTCATTGAGAGTCTGCAGTGAGGAGCTGATGTCTGGCCTACCCCATTCCCCACGGCACACAGGACCTAGGCCCGTGAGGTGAGACCTTGTCGATAACAGGGCCCCTTGTGGGGAGACAGGAACCTAATACAGCCAGAGGGGAACTACCTAGAGGTGGTAGCTGTCACTGCATCATGTAGACCCTGGTTATTTTTGTAGACTGTCATGGTTTGCAGGTGGTCTGAGGGCAGCTTTGAGTAGATTCTTTTGACTGATGGTATGGCTCGTAAGTTTCCCTGTGAAGGATTAGGGGAGCCACTACACCTGATTTTGGGACCAGCACTTTTACCTGCAGTGCCATCTCCCTGGCCTTGACTGATTGACCCAGGCTTGACCTCTACTTCCTTCCCACTCAATGTTACACACACACACACACACACACACACACAGAGAGAGAGAGAGAGAGAGAGAGAGAGAGAGAGTGTCAGACCTGTGTCCCAACGGGATGCTTCCCCAAGGCAGCTTTAGTGACAAGTGTGGCCACATCCATGGGAACATGAGCCCCAGGGATGCTCCTCAGTGCCTGGTTCCCCAGGTACCAGAGGGAAAGAGTGCAGATGGCTGGGCAGGCTCACCAAAAGGAAGGGGACTGCATCCCACTCCATCCCCTCTACCCCACTTACCCTGCTTCCTCTACAAGCACAGCCCATGTGTACTGAAAGGGAAGTCAGGAAAACTTGTACCTGCCAACTGTGTCCTAAAAACCAAGAAAAAATCCCCACAACACAAAGCGGCTCACCTCCAGTCACCATCACCAGGGTTATGTTCACAACATCTACAAAGGTCATCTGTTTCAGAAGCCTATTTTGAAGGGCGGGAGACAGACAGCAGCCAGCGAGACACGGGGAGGTTTTGTTACCATTTATTTGTGAAGTTAAAAACGAGCGATAAAAAGTAAAAACTGCCATACAATTTTTTTTGTTTTGTTCTCATTTTTTTCTCAGTTTATCTCATCTTCAACAGATGACAACGTACCAGGCCAGTCCTGGGGGTTGGGGTGGGTATAGGGTGGAGCCAGGAAAGAGCAGGGGGGAGAGAGTGGGGAGAGGGGGAGAGACAGATAGATGGGCAGGGCAGGAGGGGCCTGCGACACCCACACCTGGTCCAAGGAATGTTCCAACTCTAACTAAAAAAAACGAAAAAAAGAGATAGCAAGAGTGACTTTCTTTCCTTTTAAAAAGTTTATTTAAAAACAAGAATAGGGCCCCGGGCAGTAGGGAGAAAGTGAACCGCTTCCCTCAGAGGGGTAGGCTCGGAGGCTGGGGGATAGAGATTTATATATTTCTATATATATATCATTTAATAGGTTTTGTTCTGCTCTTTGTGATTTAATTTTTTAAACTTTTTTTGGCAGAGGTTAAATTCTCGCTATTTTCTAAGGCTGGCTCAACATGAAGGATCCCGATTTTGGAAGGAAAAAGATGTGAGACACACAGAATGAGAGAGGGAACGCCTCAGCATGAGGGGGACCCTGCACCCCGGGCGGCCGTTGCTCTCTCACCAAACCAATCAAATATAGAAACCAATAAAAGCCCCCAAATGGAACAAAAATGGAGGGAAAAAACATTTTCACAGATGAAGTTCATATCCATTTGCTTCAATTGCCTGCGGAGAGGGAGAGACAGGAATGGTCATGGCAGGAGGGCGGCTGGGCTGCAAGAGGCTGCGACTCCAGGCAGCAGGCCAGGAGGCCGGGGCCCAAGCCTGTACAAGCCAGGCAGGGGGCTGTGACTGTCTGTCTTGGGGACTCCACAGAAGTCAGACTGCTCCTTGGTGGAGGAGAAGCAGAAGGAAGAGGAGGAGGGGTCTGCAGCAGAAGAAGCCAGAGGCATGGAAGGGGCGCACAAGGGAGAAGTGCCAGGGTGGGGAAGGGGACAGAGGAGGGAGGCGGCGGCTCGGCGTCACAACATTCAGATCATGGTGTCCCCACAACACCCCTGTGAGGTAGGTTGGAAGGTGGCAACGATCGTCATGCCCACTTCACAGACAAGACCGGGACACAGAGGCAAGTGCACACAAAAGGTGGCCTCGCCAGGCAGGGAGGGCCCAGTCCCCTCAGTGGGCTCCCCTCCATCCCAGCAGAGCCAGGGCCGCCTGCAACACGCAGTTACTTGGACATGGGGGATTAAAGATGGTGGTTTTAAAAAAATAAAACAATAAAAAAGAATAAAACCCAAATAGTGATGCTGAGAAGGGGGAAAAAAATACACATTTTCTTCCCAAGTGGCCAGATTTTGAGCGAGCGGGTTCAGCAACTGGCATGGCGCCCAGCGCAGTCCCCACTTCCTGCCCCCACCCGGGACACCCCAGCAGTTCAGAGTTCCACCTTTTCGGCCGGTGCCCCCAGCACCCGACAACGTTGCACCAACAGCGGCTGCCGGAGGAGCCTCTTCCGTGAGCCTCTGCACCCAGCGGGCGCTTCCCAGCGGTGGGGCTGCGGGCTCCGGGAGACTCTGGCCACGCGCCCGAGGCTGGCTTGCATCAAGGGCACACCCCGCAGGGGAAAGGGTTTCCGGCGCTACCCACTAAGGCAGGATGGACGGTGGCCGGGGGTTGGAAGGAGAAAGGAGGAGGAGGAGGGTGGCAGTTCCCACTTGCCTGCTGCTGTCCCTGCTGGGTGGGAGGTGGCTGGGGGCCACCAGGGCCTGGGGTCTGTCCGTAGTAAGCGGCCTGCTGTCTGTAATACTCAGCCCAGGCAGCACTGTAGTCTGGCTGGGAGCCAGGTGGTGCTCCAGGACCGCCACCAGTGGCCACTTGCGCTGTGGGCAGAGAGGACAGTGAGTGGCTGGCAGAAGAACCCACTCCCTACCTGTAGCCCCACCCCTGACCACACCCAGAAGCTTACCTTGCTTCTTGTAGTATTCCTCCCAGGCCTTGGTGTAGTCCTGCTGTGGGGGTGCTCCAGGCTGCTGGGGCTGCTGGCCTGAGGAACAGGGTGTCAGGGCAGCTGGACTCTTTGTGGGATACCCCCACTGCTCCCTGGCACCAAACTTACCTATTTTCTTGTAATACTCTTCCCAGGCCTTGGTGTAGTCTGACTGGCCAGTGGGTGGAGGTTGGGGGGGCTCCCCCTGCGCAGGTGGAGCTGCGGGAGCTGGGGCAGGGCCTGGCACAGGACCTGGGGGTTGCTGGTAGTAATGGGAGTAGTAGGCGGCCCAGGCAGCATTGGGGTCTGCAGCTGCTGCGGCAGCTTTGTCTATAGAAAAACAAGTCAATTGAAGGAGGCACAGCAGTTGGCTTGGTACCCCTCAAATTCCCTATGCAGTGCTGATACTTACTTGGGTCGTGAGGGGCAGGAGGTTGCCACTGGGGGTAGGTATTGCCCCAGCCCTGAGGCGGGTACTGGTGAGGAGGGGGACCACCGGCACTGCAGGGGAGAGAAGTAAGTGGTCATGAGTGTGGGCTTAAGCTGGGGCTGACACACAGGATGGAGACCAAGATAAAAGGCAGCAGAGTCTCTTACAGCACCTATCACACTCCTGTGCTTGAAGGGCAGGGCTGAGACAGGACCTGCCCCTCCTGTGCCAGGCCCCGTAACCCACACACAACCCAATAAGCCAAGGAATACTCACTGTGGGGGTGCTCCTGGAGGCCCCTGGTTGAAGGGTCCAGGGTTGAAGGGCCCCATGGGTCCAGCAGGGCCTGGTCCTCCAGGGCCTGGTCCAACTGGGCAGAGAGGACCCTGGGGAGAAAAGTGGCAACTGTGGTGAGCTGACCAAAGGGGAGGGGACACCTTCACCAGCACCCCATGGAACCCACCTCAATCTTCTCCTCAATGAGCTGCTTTGCATGGTCAATCTGCTGGGGTGAGCCCCGGATGACAAACAACTTGAAGTTGGGATCTCCATTGGGCGGCAGTTGCCGAGATATCTCCACAAAGGCGCCCGTCTGCTGATTAATAGCCTTCACGTTCTCACCACCTGTGGGATCACAGCTAGTGAAGGGCTGGCAAGTGCAGAACCAGGCAAGGGAAGGGCAGAGCCTCAGGGACTCACCTCTGCCAATGACCAATCCACACTTGTGGGTAGGAATGGAGAAGGTCATCTCCCCTCCAGGAGGGCCCCAGTTCCCTTGGCCTCGGCCCCGGCCCCTGCCCCCAGGAGGCATGCCAGGGGCTCCTGGAGGACCCGGGGGTCCACTCCGAAGGCTCTGGAGGAGGTCATTGATGATCCGGGCTGCGTGCTCACACCGATCTGGGGGCCCCATGATGTGAGCAATCTTCTCAGGGCCTGTCCCGTCATCTGACATCCACACCAAGAAATGGTTACTCACTTAAAGAAAAGCCAAGCTCCCTGACTGCACCTCTGATAGAGACCAGTACCCTTGACTTGTTGCTGCCATGCAGTTGGGCTAGCATGGAAACCCGTTTCCCAGAACATGTCCCCACCCTCTCAGAGGCAGCATGAGTGTCCTCCCACCTTTGGGATCCATAGAACTAGCTAAGCTCGGGGAAACAGTGGTTTCTGAAAAGCAACTGACAGGATCTAGACATCAGTTTTCTGCAGGCCCTTGGTGCAAAGGGGCATCGGCAGGGGCAATGCCACTGCCTGGGCCAAGGTGGTGCCCACCCCTGACCTTGTTTGAACTGGATGCGCACACCAGCGTCATTCTGGATCTTCTTGATCATCTCTCCACTACGGCCAATGACCACACCTACTGAATGCCGGGGTACAGGCACCTGCGAGACCAGGAGGCCAGGGTCACCCAGTGTGCCCTTAGCTGCCCTGCATCGGCTGCCCACCTCTCTGTAGTGCTTGCACTCACATCAATGCCTCCACCAACTCGAGATCCATACTCATTGCGGTCCCCAAAGCCACCCTGGTCACGTTCTCGAAGGATGTCCATCACCATCTCACATGCTTGCTGTGAACACAGCACATTGGACAGTGGGCAAAGGCCAAGCAAAACTGCCCAGCACCCACCTCCTGGCACCTATATCCCTTAGAGAGCTGTTCATCTCAGGAAAGAGGCTGAAGGGCTAAGGAGAGGCTGCTGCTGACAGCAGTCAGGCAAGACCTCAGGTCAAGTCTGACACTGGAACCTTCTGGAGACCATGCTGTTTGGGCACTTACCTGTACTTTGTACGGGTCCCCGATGATCCTCAGTGGCTTGTCCACATTTGTATTCTGGGAGCCATCCTGAATTAAAATCATCTTCACCCCGGCACGCTCCTGCAGTGGTAAGTGCCTGTTAGAAGTTGGCTCTGGCAGGGGCCTGCTAGGGACTAGTGTTCTGGCCTGTGCCACTCCGCACCTGTAGCTGCTTGATGGTCTCCCCACCCTTGCCGATGACCAGGCCAGCCTTGCCAGCGGGGATCATGATCTCCTGCACCGTGCCATTCTGACCACCATTGGCATTATCATGGAACTGTCCTGGGGGTCCCCCACGGCCCCGTGACACAATGTCATCCAGCATCATCTTCGCCTTTCTGGGGGAGAGAACAAGGTGACCACATAGAGTGTGAATTCAGTGCACACCCAACTCAGATGAGCTATCTGGTGAGTGCCAAGGACCTGGGGATGTTCAGGATTCAGAGGGTGTGTCAACACATCCACACAGCTCTGGGAACAGGTCAGATGGGAGAGACATACATGGGTGTCACCAACCCCCGCAGGAGACCCAACAGGGGACTTACTGGACAGACTCGGGGGCTCCGGTCAGGGACACACTGCGCTCAGGGAGGCCTCCACTATCTGCAGAGAAAAAGAGAGGCTCAGTGCCCAGAGGGCTGCTGTGAGGAACAGGACAGTTCCAGAACAGTCTGCAACTCTCCCTGACAAATCATTTCACCCCCACCAACAGACACCTGGAAGGCTGCTTTTTTTTTTGCTGTTTTTCGAGACAGGGTTTCTTTGTGGCTTTGGAGGCTGTCCTGGAACTAGCTCTTGTAGACCAGGCTGGGCTCGAGCTCATAGAGATCCGCCTGCCTCTGCCTCCAGAGTGCTGGGATTAAAGGCATGTGCCACCACTGCTGGGCTAGAAGGCTGCTTTTTAAAAACTCAATGGGGGAAGATGAAACTCAGGAGGCAGACAGGTAGAGCGCCATGCCCCCATCACCATGAGGCCAAGTCAAGAGGATGGTGAGGGGAAGAGGGAGACTCCAGCAATCAGTTCAGGGGCTTCCCAGTAGCATCTGGGACCATGGCTCAAATCTGAAGAGAGAATCCTGAGCAAGGCCCTACAGGAGCGCTCCACAGAAGTAGATCCAAGCTGACCTGGCCACTCTGCTTTTTACGGCACTAATCTGTATCCCATGACACTTTAGGTGACAGCAAAGAGCCTGCCACATGAAGAGAAGTACCTCTATGCCTAAATCCACATTTTCCTAGGCCCCCAACATGTAAAGAGGACAAACAAGGGGCAGGGACATGGCTCAGGGAGCAAAGATGCTCATCACCAACCCCAATGACCTTAGTTCAACCTCAGGATCCCATCTGATAGAGGGAGCCAGATAGCAGTACTGACCCACAGGCTCTTATCACCCTGGGAGCAGCTGACCTCTGACCTCTACGTGAGTACGGTGGCAAGTGCACTCCCCACACACATAAAACAAATATGATCAAAATATAAAGTAGAGGAGGGCACCAGGTACCGTGGCGCCTGTCATTGTCAGTGGCAGTGCTGTGTGCATATGTGGGAAGCACCCACCCAGTAGAGCCAGCTCTACACTGGTCCCAGGCAACTTTAGATGGAAAGCCATACCTGGTGAGATCTGAACTTTGCAGCCTGAGTCCTGCTGGATTTTGTTAATCTGCTCACCACCTCTGCCAATGACTGGGAGGGAAGAAAAGAATAACGGTGAAAGCCTGGTAAGGGCACACAGACCAAGGCTCCCCACCAGCGGCCCCTTAGACCTTACCACACAGAACACCCGACCCCTACCCCCATAATGGGGACCCACACTCACTCAAGCCCACCATGCCATCTGGGACCCTATATTCTTCTGTCATTGAGGTCCTGTGGGAAGAAACATTGGACATCAGCTTCTAGCTCAGAGACCCCAGCTCTCCTGGCCCCTTGAAGCCCCAGCACTTGCACACCCGGCTACTAACAACCCAAGGGCAATGGCTTCAGGGCTAGAGTGAAGATTGAGGACTATAGGCAGCATGGGTCATCCCATTTCCTCAGGTAGGAACAAGCACTCGAATCTCTTGTTTTTGAAGAGTGTTCCATGTAGCTCAGGCTAGCTTTGAACTAATCACCTGCTTCTACCTCTCAAGTGCCAGGATGAGAGGTGTGTCACTTTGCCTATGGTCTATTTGTTGTTTTTTTGAGACAAGGTTTCTTTGTGTAGCCTTGGCTGTCCCAGAACTCAGAGATCTGCCTGCCTTTGTCTCCCAAGTGCTAGGATTAAAGGTGTGCACTACCACTGCCAGGCCTAAACATTTTCCTTCTTTACTTTTTTTTTCTAATATATATTTTTATGTGGATTGGTGTTTTGCCATGGGTGCAGGATAACCTGGAACTGGAATTAAGACAACTGTGAGCTGCCATGTGGGTGCTGGGAATTGAACTCAGGTCCTCTGGAAGAGCAGTCAGTGCTCCTAACTGCTGAGCCATCTCTCCAGCCCTGCTCTATTGGCTAAGTTCCCCACCCTGGACATTTTCATACCACACTGACAGTCCAGATATCAGTAAAAAAGGGACTCATCATACACACAGTTTATCTCATTCTCCAGTCAATGTCTATTGAATTTCAAGAAACTACAGGTTTGTTCCAAGAAAATCAATGGCCTATTCCAACAACCTGGTCTGATTCAGCTCAGGCAATCTGAGGCAACCAGACAGCAGTAGAGACCCACAGCCTGGGAGCATCTAACTGGTCCTAGCCAGTGCTTCTGAGTGGTGGTGGTGGTGGTGGTGGTATCAAGAATGGCAGTGAGGAACCACAATGCTCTCATGGCCACAACACCTCCAGCCCCAGCCTGCCAGCACCCCCTGGTTCCACAGGTCCCTCCATTCCAGCCCCCAAACCAGAGACAGCAGAAGGCCAGGGAACAGCTTACCTGGGGGGAGGATGGATGGGTCCCAGTTGAGAACCAATTGCTGGAGAGAGAAATTCAAAGCAAAGCCTGGCTTAATACCTATCTAGGCCCCACAACTCCAACCCATGTTTATATTGGGGGGGGGGTGGTACCCATGATAAGGGCTCTGAGCCCAGATCTCATCCTGAGGGCACTGTGGCCTCTTCCCCATGAAAGCCCGCCTCTAGGACTTTTGTTTCCATTTCCAAAGGCTTGCTTGAGGACCCTTAAATCTTCTGAGCCACTGCACAAAGGTGCTCAGTCAGCACACAGGTGCTGGATGCTCAATACTCTCAGTGCTCCCAATACCACACGCGCACCCATCAGTGGACTTACAGTCTCCCTGGGAAGCCAGTTTCTTGCTGTCTGGCTGGTCTGTGGATGAGAGAGACTGTCAGATGCGACACCACCCACCTGCACCGCCTCAACCCCAAAGCTGGTGCCGCATGTTCCAGGCATAGTCACCACCATCCCGCGTAACAGCCAAAATGGAGGGTTAGAAAGTGTGGGCCCAGAAAGGGGCAACATGCCCAAGTCACTCACCACCCCGAGTGACAAAGTTCACTTTTAACATGTGAACATTAGTAGTATCATAGGGGCCATACAGATTAGAGTTGGACCTACTCAGGGGACAAGTGTCCTGTTTAGGAACAACCTTGGTGATGTTGTGTCCTGTGTCAGTCTCCCACAGGGAAGGAGCAATCTTGGAAGCCTAGTTTTCCCTGGTCACAATCAACCTGCCCTTCTCTCAGCTATCTGATACTTCAGAGTGGCAGATGGAACAAAAAACTGGGCAACTCCCCTGTCTTGGAGCCCCACTGGGACAAAATACTCCTCTTAGCCCCAGGCTTCCCTCCAGAGTGAAAGCCAGCTGCCGTGGCCACCGTGGCCACCGTGGCCACAGACACCCACCACCACCACCACCACCACCACCACCACCTCCTCCTCCTACCTCCATCTTCCAGCTGTCTCTTTTGGCCCCCAAAACCAAAATCGGGAGTGTTGTTATTCACGGTAGTAGCAGCATCACCTCCGATTTTGGCTGCAATCTAGGGTGAGGTAGGAAGTACAGACAAGTTACCATACCAAGCAACCTTCAAGTTTGACCCCAGCAGTGGCCTGGAGTGGCTCCCCTGATTTTGAGGATGTTGTGTATAGACACGCCAGAAGCTTTTAGGAAAGTTTCCCAAGTTTTCTAAAAACTGCAGACTCCATGTTCTCCCTTACTGACAGGACCTATGCTCACAGACTACTCTACATGCAAACGAAACAGCAACTCAGGAGAACAGAATTCCTGGGTCACCTCCCACAAGTGGCCTGGGTAGCAAACAGGATTTTAGTGTGGTCCTTCCAACTTTCCTGTCTCTCACCATTGCTATCTTTACAAAAACATCCTGAGACATCTCAGTCAAGCTTCTCTCTTCAAGGCATCTGACATCCCCCTATGACCAAAACAAACGCCCCTTTGGGACAGAGTTCCAAGTGCACAGGGAGCATATCTTCACATCATCCCTAAAGCCAGCAAACATAAACCCCAAATCCTGAACTCAGGATCTGGACTACTCCACTATAAAAACCAAAAGTGTGCTTATCCTTGACAGGGATTATCACCCCCAACTGACAGTGCCCACCCCCAGGGTAAGCTGCATCTCAATCAAGGCACTGTAGGGAACGACCAGAAAAAAGGCATGCTAGAGCCGAACGTTGGTGTCCCACGCCTTTAATCCCAGCACTCAGGAGGCAGAGGCAGGCAGATCTCTGTGAGTTCAAGGCCAGCATAGTCTCCAGAAGGAGTGCCAGGATAGGCTCCAAAGCTACAGAGAAACCCTGTCTCAAAAAAACAAAACAAAACAAAACAAACAAACAAAAAAAAGACATGCTAGAAGCCACCCCACCTTGGAGTGAGGAAGGCAAAGACTAGGCCATCACCAATGGTTCTTCCTACCTTGGGAGAAGCCAGTCCTTAGCCCAAAGGCCTGGGGACAACCTCTGGGCACAACCATCCATTGTGAACCTAGGTCACTTAACTTTTAGAACTGAGCAGAGTGGGGCTGTAAGCAAAGTTGAGCTGGGTCACAACAGCACAGCTATATGCTGTCATCAAAAGACACGTTCCCAAAGGAGACAGACAACTCTTGAATTAATCCAAACAGTAAAAAGCAGGTTCTCATGTTTGCCTTCCTCATCTCACTCCAAGGCCCAGGCTCTCCAACAGATCCAGGAGGAAGTACTTCAACACCCCTCACCAAGTCCCTTCCTAGGGAAGGGACAGAAATGGGATGGTTTGGGGGACCTGTCCAGATTGGAAACAGGTGCAGAAGTGTGTAAAGTAAGATCCTCTACCTATAAGGTAGGTGCTGAACTTCTGTGAGGGCCAAAGTATGTGCTAAGATGGGCCCACCTTCGGAACCCCCTCAGATTCTGAGTCCTCATGTGTCTGAATAGTGGTTCCCTAGCATCCTTGGATACAACTTTGGCGGGCTGGCTCTTGGGGAACCCTCATGGGTTCCAAGAGGGGTCCTTCCAGCATCCCTGACCTCATCCTTCTGAACTAAGGAATGGCTCTCACAGACCGGCCTCAGATTCCAAGCCATCAGGAGCCCTAAGACCATTTCCCTAACATAACTCCTTAAGAGGGGTCCTCAGCCAAAAATCCAGGAGTGGTTCTTGGAGACATCCTCATAACGCCAAATCACAGGCCTTTGCAAAACCAGAGGACCTCTTCAAATCGCAAACCCTCCTATATTCTGGAGTGGTCCCCCAGAATACAAGCCCTCGTTTCCTGAATGGAAATGCAGAGTGCAACAAGCTCGGGGGTGGTTCTTGGGGACACTGTCCCAGACTGCCACCCTTGTGGGTCCTAGAGGAATCCTCCAGTGCACTCAGGGATGGTGTCTGGGAACTCCAACCCTCCTGTTCTGAGAGACCCTCCTATTCTGGGAGTCCAGAAGTGGTTGTCGGGGACCCCCCAAGTCCCGAAACCGTCGTGTCACAGACGGGATTGTCCAGTGCAAAGTCTGGTTCTCGGGGACCCCCTTCCGGCGCACCCCTCA